TCAATAAATCAAAATATGCGTTAGATTGGCCATTATGGAATTTTACAAATATGAATGTTATATTATGATAATAAGAGAAAGAAAAAGAAAGAAAATTTCGACTTGCATTTCTGGGAATTTCACGTCCTCTGCACACGAGCGTTTTATTCCCATGAGAATATGGAAAAGGTCTGCCCCCTCCCCTTCTATCATTTTTATTTTTTTTTTACTTGAGAAAAATAAAATATTCTTATTTACGATTAGCTGCGTCTCAAACGCGTGGATATTAGATAAAGTGTTTTTTTATTTTTTTATTTTTATTTTACTTTTTTATTTCCTTCGTTTTATTTCTTTCTTACACACACACACACACACACACACACACACACACACCACACACACACACACATATATATATATATATATATATATATATATATATATATATATATATATATACGCGTATATATATACACGTATGCATACACATACATATATACGCGTATATATACACATATATATATACATACATACATACATACATACATATATATATATATATATATATATATATATATATATATATATGAAAAATATTGAAAAATATAATTTTGCACTGTATGTCATATTTCATGAAATATAAAAAGAAATCTATACTATCCCAATATTTTATCGCGTATTTTTGGTACACATTAATCAATTTGTAATTAACGTGCCTGATTAGCCAGTTGTTTATAACCTAAACAGAAAAGGTACAATATTTCGAATCAAAATTAATGCACTTTGTAGACACAGTCTCACAGAGAGGGCAACAATATATCTTTTATTCTGATTATATAATATTCATGAGTTCCAAAGTCTAAATTCATCAAGGTAAGAGTTCACCTACTTTGAGATAGAGCTAAAAGAGAGAGAGAGAGAAAAAAAAAAAAGTTTGAAAGTTTCATTTCATGCTATCCAATGTTTTCATCTAGGCTTGTATTAATAATTCAACGTTGCTTTAATGAAATTTATTGTTGAACCATTTCATTCGACATTCTGTTTGATTACTCGTTCATTCATTTGATTACCGCTATATTTCGCTAGCGACGTATTAATTCAGTCCTCGCTATATTATACGAATTAATTTGATATCAAGTCTCGGGTAATTCATAACGAAGCCGTAATAGTATATCTAGGCTCGTATCCCCATGATCTGGTATTTTACCATTCATAGCATTATTTTTCTTATTTCTTTTTGCAAACAAAGGAAATAACGTTCTGGCGTAGGGTCCGTTGTTGTTTCTTTGCATTATCAATTTAAGTTTTACCATTTAAATCATTATTGCTCTATTTTTTTTCAACAAACCAAGGAAAAAAAACGTTTTAGCGTAGGGTCATGGTATCACTAGGTTTTGGTGCTTATTTGGGTCTGCATATAGTTGATCATGATAGTGAAGATGATGATGTTGATGATAGTAACAGTAAGGAAGATGAGAATGAGAATAATAATGATGATAATACTTCTAATAATAACAATAATAATGATGATACTACTACTACTACTAATAACAATTAATAGTAACAATAACAGCAACAATAATAATAATGATAATAATAATGATGGCAATATCAAGAATGATAATGCTAACGATAATCATAATGATACTGACACTAATATTAATGATAGTAATAATGATAAATAATATTAACGTAGATGATTTCATTAGCAACAATAATTATAATAATCATTCTACTACTACTACTAGAACAAGTAATAATAATAATGATAATCGAAAAATGATAATTATGATGATTATAATGAAAATGATGATGGTAATAGTAATGATAACAATACTGATAAAAACAGTAATAATGATAATGATAACAATATTAATAATAATATTGATAGCAATATTGATAATGATAATGATAACAATAGCAATAATGATAATGATAAAATTAGTAATAATGATAATGATGATAATAATAAATGTCCTGGATATAACATTAAACTGCACCCGGCTGTGGAGTCTTTACGTGGGAGAATGAAGTTACCCTTAGCCACAACTACCTCCAGGTCACCCTTGGGCAAGGTGTAGTACCCGTCAGCCTTGGGAAGATGGAGCTCATTAGCCTTAGTCGGAGAGGAAACAACGTGGGAGATTTTAAAGAATACATTGGTAGAGTCAGCTGAAGAAACGCTGCCAAAGAAGAAGAAGGATAAGAAGCAGAAGTGGATGACGGATGAGATACTATCAATGATGAGCAGCAGACAAAAGATCAAGAATAGAGAAAGTAATGAATGTAAAGATTTAGATAAGAGAATCAAAGAGAAGTGCACAGAAGCTAAGGAGAACTGGTTAAATAGAAAATGTGTCGAGATCGAACGAAATTTGAATTCAGGGAACGACCCCAATGTGTACAAAAAGATAAATGAAATATCAAACAGAAAAACAGGCTGCTCAAATTCCGGGTGTATCAGAGCAAAAGATGGGACTATGCTTGTAGAGAAAGCTGAAATCTTTGGTAGATGGACGGAATACATATCTGAATTATTCGATGATGTAAGAATATATCTACCACGGTTCACAGAATCGGTGGATGGTCCAAAGATCCTCCCCTCAGATATTAGGGAAGCTTTAAGGATGAAAAGAAACAAAGCAGCTGGTCCAGATGGGATAGTAATGGAAATGATTGAACTACTTGGCGATTATGGTGTTGAAAAACTGACAGAAGTAGTAAATAAAATCTATGATGATGGAGTCTTTCCCGATGAGTTGAGTAAATCAATTTTCATTGCACTTCCTAAAAAGCCTGGAGCCGTGGAATGTGAGCTTCACAGAACGATCAGTCTAATGAGCCATGTCACAAAGATTATACTCCGAGTTCTGCTTCTGAGAGTGAGAAATAGGATATCACCTGAAATTGGAAAGATGCAGTTTGGTTTCGTCAAAGATGCAGGTACCAGATATGCTGTCTTTGCTCTAACTAATTTGTTGGAAAGAGCCGTAGATATGCAAAAGAAGGTTTTCTTGCGTTTTATTGACTACACCAAGGCATTCGATAAAGTCAGGCACATCTTGTTCGAGGACCTATGCAGGATGGATTTACACTCCAAGGACTTGAGATTATTACAAAATTTGTATTGGAAACAGTCTGCATGTATTAGAATAGACAGAGAGCACAGTGAATATATAAATATCAAAAGGGGCGTTCGACAAGGGTGTGTTATGTCTCCAGAGCTTTTTAATTTATACAGTGAATTGATTCTTAGATCGTTAGAGCAAGAGAGGGGGTTGAAATTGGGTGGGCATAACACTACTAACATACGTTACGCGGACGATACGGTACTCTTAGCAGAATCGGAAGAGGATCTACAAAGGCTCCTAGATATGGTCGTGAGAGAAAGTGAAATCAGGGGGTTAACTATAAATAGTAAAAAAAACTGAATGTATGGTTATATCAAAGAAAGGAGGTGTGAGGAGTAAGGTGAAAGTAAAAGATCAGGAAATAAAACAGGTTTTGTCTTTCAATTACCTCGGTACTGCTATAATAGAGGATATCAGGTGGGAAAAGAAATTAAGAGAAGAATTACACTTTTGAAAGTAGCTTTGTCCACTAGATTGTCCACTAGATTGCGAGTATTGAATTGTTATGTATACCCTGTGCTAATGTATGGGTGTGAAGCCTGGACCTTAACGTCGGAATTAAGAGATAGATTAGAGAGTTGTGAAGTCTGGTTTTTGCGTTGAATGTTAAGAATTTCCTGGATCCAAAGGATAACGAACGAAGAGGTTTTTCGTAGGGCGGGGGTGAACAGAAAGCTCATATGCGATTTAAGAGGCAGGCAGATGAGGTTTTTGGGGCATGTGATGCGTAAGGACGATATAGAAAGCCTTGCTTTAACTGGAAAGATAGAGGGGAAAAGGAGCAGGGGTAGAAGGAGATTTACGTGGATGAGTAGTCTTAGGAGTTGGTTAACAGAGAAAGGTGTTCAGTATCCTGAAGTACGGTTACTGCAGATGACAAAAGACAGAGAAGCGTGGCATGCCATGATCGCCAACGTCTTAGGATATGGCACCTAAAGAGAGAGAGAGAGCCTTAGTCGGCAATCCATCTCAGAGAAGGAAAACCTCGAACAGTAAGCCCACTTGGCAATAAGGACAAAACGCACACCTTTTTTCCCATAATAAAAACCGGATATTACTTATACCGCATCGGTCGTCGCACGGGGGACCGAGGACCGCGTCTCTTAGGGTGGAATATGCCTAGGAACGAAAAGTCTGCAGCTGGAACAAACTCCGGGAGTAATGTTCTACGAGATAGCCAGAACCAGGGCATCCCTAACCCTGGACATGTAGTAACACCACCGAATTAGTCCCCAGAAGCAAAACGAATTAAATGGACTAAAGAGGATTATAAAAAAATGTTTTGAGAGACTTCTTTATCGTTCATTCAAAACCTGTGAGAAACATAACAGAACAATTTACTGAATGGAGAGCCTTAGTTGGGAATGAAGTATGCTTCGATATAAGCGCAAATCAACTAGGAAATGTACGTAGAGACATACTAAAAGATAAAAGACTAACAGATGCTAAGCTTGATCAAATACGAAGACAGGACTCACAAGACCAAGCTAACGTACCTGGACATCACGAAGAAGCGGAGAATAGAGTTCCTCCTATGAATGATTTATGAAACAGAAGCTAAGGGCCTCGCGAATGAAAACATTGATCGAGAACTTCCCCCTAGTGTAATATATATATATATATTTTTTTTTTTCTTTTTTACAACATAGGGAGAGAAGCGAAGAGGCACGCCGAGAAATCTTACGTGAACTCAGCAGGACTGAGCAGCAACATATAGCAGAGAGGAAGCCACTTCCGAAACTTACAAATAACTCGAAGCTTAACTTCAAAATCAAGCTCTAAAAACTTGCATTAAATGAAAGCTTGAAATTTAACCAAAAGGAGTGAACATCCATCAACAATCACATTTAAAGGAAAAGTTATAACTAAATTAGGTGCCCAAAACAAAAA